TGCTTGAGGGCCTGTCCCGTGGCTGGGGAGGGCTGAGCCACCGCTGAGGGCTCGCGGTTCGGTGGGTGCTGGGGCAGGAGCTGGGGAAAACCCCACCTGGAGGTTTAAAATCCCCAAACTGCTGTTTTTCCTGTGAGGAATCCCCTGTGCCGGGGGGCGGCCGGAGCTGCACCGCCGGCGTCGGGCCTGGGCCGCGGGGCCGGGCCGCAGGCGGGGCCTGCTCTCGCTGCTGCTCTCGCTGCTGCTCTCGCTGCTGCTCTCGATGCTGCTCTTTGGGGCCGTTTCTTTCGGGTTGGCTGAAAGCGGCCTGAACAAGCACAGTCATCAAAGCTAAAGGAAAGTCTGGCCCACGTTACTTCGATTTTATGACTTACAAATTGATCCAGGGTAGCTCAGTTTAACACCTCAGGCAGATTTAGTATTAAGCCTCCTTAGGTAGTATTGGCGTCTTTGTCTTGGTTCCCCTCTGTTTCTTAGTTTGTTAGTGCTTTCTAGGTGTGCAAGTCAGTGTTCGTATTTGTGTTCAAACTGTCCTTTAATACTTTAAGGAAGTACAACTAGCTTTTTTAAAAATAAGGAAACTCAAAATGTTAGTGTTACTGGTGCAGTGAATGTTTATGCAGCTTCATGGAAAACCAGACAAGGGAACCGATTTCACTGAAAAAATACTGCTCCAACAGATAAGCTTATAAAACAAGGGATGAAGTCATTTATCAAAATGGAGGCCTGTGATAGCAAAACTGTCATTTGATATGCACATGTTCATGAAGAAGTAACTTCAACTGCAGTTACCCTCTTCACAAATCCAGTTTGCATTTTACAGTTTCATCTGACATACTCTTCATCTACGGAATCAGGTCAGTAATTAGGCCAACATGTGAGATTAAGTCAATTATAGGACAGTTCCAAATCAATTGTGTTTAACTATAGAATGCACATTTAAAGCAATAATTTTTAAAGTGCTGAAAAAAGCAGGATTATCACAAGTATGTAAGAACGTTTCAACTGAAATATTCTAGCCATTCCTTATGTTGTTGTTATGCAACAGCTTCAGAATACAAAATAAGGATTTTTGCAAAAATAAATGGTGGAACAGGAGACAGTGACTTTAGCTTGGATCTAAGTAAAGCTACAGTTTTGTGTTGCTATTTGTGCTTAGTTTGGTTTGTTGTCTCTTTTTTTCTACACAGCTCATTCCTTTGTATTAGGTCCCACAACTTACCTACCACAAAGTAAAAATGTAGCATTAAAAAAAAAATGGTAATGATAAAGCTTGAATGTCCCACATTCTACCACGTTGCAGAAGCAGAGAGCTAATAACTAGTTAAATATGCTTGGCCTCTTCACCACTATTGAAGTTTTCCAGCTGTTTCTCAACTGTTTTTCCAACTATCCTCCTAGGGTTTATCAGCTATGAGTGATACCTCTTGGCAGGGAGACACCCAAGCTATGTTTAGATCCTGTCCGTCTGCAAAGCAACTTTAATACCAAATTTTGAGTGAACTGAAGTAATTCTGTGTTCTCCTGGGTTTGTTTTTGGTTTTGTGTGGTTTGTTGTTTAGAGGTTTTGTTTGGTTGGTTTTGTTGGTGGTTTTTTAAAAATCTTAAATCAGGGAAACTACCCTCTGTGCTGCTGTATTTTTGTATTGTGTTATCTCAGTATTTCTTGTACCTTTTGTTCTTCAGTTCAGATGTGTTCTGTAAGCTCCTTAAAAACCTAGTGGCCAGAAGCACGTGTTATTTTCTTTGCAAGCTGAGCTAAATGACAATTCCAAATCATAATGAATCTTTTTGCTTCATCACAGCTTCTGCACTTTCAGCAGCTCAGTGTTCTTTGCTCATTTTGCGGTACTAGCAGTAGACTGAAACCTTTACCTATCCACAGAATTAATTACAAAATGCCAGGTGATAGGCATAAAGCAAAGGAAGGACTGACATTACTGGGGGAAAGAGGATGTCATCCCTCTTTCTACAAATTGCTGGAAGAGTGTTTCTCAGATTGTAGAGCTTAAAAAATTAGGGTGTTCCTCGCTGAGGAACTCCTCACCTGAGAGTGTTTTGAAGACTCCTAAATGCTTGTAGGAAGCAAAGTATTCCCTTGCCACAGGCCTATAATAAGCTATAATGACTGTAGTTACACAGCTGATAGGTAATACTTTTTATGCTGATTATTTTTTCTCATTAGCATGCATAGAATTTATTTTTAGAATTATTTTAAGATTATAACTCCTAATAATTTAATACAATTGCAAGTTGGCGTTGCCATTTTAAGGTTGAGAGTAACTGTTCTGACATATAGAAGTGCAATCTGCTGAATTAAGTTGTTGTGCACTGCGATGACCATGATTAATGGTGCATCAGAAAATATCTTCCAAGCATCATATCTCAGTAGGCTGTTGTTTCAGCAGCAGCTATGATTATTTTTTTTCCCCCCCCTCAGACACTGAGTTAAGGTAGTATATGTCCAAACAGAAATTGTGTATTCAGAGGAGCACTTTTAAGATTGTAACTTGAGGTTCATGCAGGTGGCATGGTTACTGTAGGAAAGGACCTAGTAAAAATACATGTAGAATTCAAAGACGCACAGACCAAGTTTGCATCCCTTGGCTATGTATGTTACAATGCACACATAAATTACACTGATCATGTATGATTTTTCAGTCATTGAGATAACACTATGCATGTGAACAAGGGGCAAATTAAAGTTACTAGCCCACCTAAAATGCTGTCATATCTAAAATGAGGACTTTCAGCTTTATATCAATCCTACTTTTATATAAAACTGACAATCCCCACTTTAATTCCGTGGGATCATACTGGGAGCAGCTGCTTTAGCAGCAGAGCTGTCCAGACCCAGGGAGAGGCCTTTGTCTCTCAGGCTGTTGGCAGACGAGGACACAAGCAGGCAGGGATATGCAGTGGGCGCTAGAGGGGAGTGTGACCGTGGTGTCGATTATTCATCCACCTACACACGGGAGAAGAATGTAGCCTCAGGGCACGAAGATTTAATTATAGGCTGTCTTGCAGCTGTAGAACCATTATACCTTATGCCTCCAGCGTCTTTCCAACCTCTGATCCTACTTTTTTTTTTTTTCTCCTACATCAAAATAGTTATGAAAATGAATATTAAGACTGTAAAGTAACTTGTAGAGTACTGTTGTCTTTTGGTTTTGTCAAAATTTCCTTATCAAACTCCCATTAAAGTGTGTTTGCCAGCAGCAGCAAGAAAATAGTAAAGGATATCAAGTAACTATATAAAGATTCAAAATCAGAGATTATTTGGAAGATACATGATGTTACTTCTAGTCTTAGAAACATGTGGTCTAAGAAACATCCCGGGATCCTAAGGAAATTGGCAAGTGTAGTTGTTAAGCCACCCTCCATCATATTTGAAAAGTTATTACAAAGTCCCTAGTGACTGGAAAAAGAAGAGTATTGTATCCAGACCCTGGGAACTATTGATCAGTCAGCCTCACCTCCATGCCCTCCTGGAAGATATGTCAAGGCATATGGAAGATGAAGAGGTGATTAGAGACTGCCAACATACCTTCACCAAGGGCAAATCATGCCTGACTAATCTGCTGGCCTTCCATAATTAAGTGACTGCATCAGTGGATAAGGGAAGTGTAACTGATGTAATTTACGTGAACTTCTGCAAAGCCTTTTTACAGTCCTTCACAAAGTTCTTGCCTCTAAATTGGAGTGATGTGGATTTGATGGAGGGGCTATTGGATGGATAAAGAATTGGCTGGATAGCTGCATCCAAGAGTTGCAGTCTATCAATCAGTGTGCACATGCAAACCAGTAATGAGTGATAATCCTCAGTGGTCTGTTCTGGGACTAGTACTATTTAACATCTTCATTA